CTAACGCCAAATTAGTCATAAAACTTGAGTGCTATAGTTCAAGTGCTAATTTGTCGATAAGAGTTTGTTCATCTTTCACCAATCTAAGTAAATTTTCTATTTTGAAGTAGCTACAACAGTGTAATTAGTAATTTGAATATTTGATTCTTGGATTAAAGAATTTTTTTAATTTTATTTTTCTAAATTATCCTCGTATACAAGCGGATAAACTTCACAGTCGCATAAACATGTCATTTTTATACAAAGAGGTTCTTTTCAGAAATTTAAAACCCTTTATATCTAAAAACAATGATTGAAAACTCAAAAAAAAAAAATCTTCATATATTAATAGTTCTATTATGTTCAAAAAACTACGAACAAGCTAAAAAAACAGAGACGGCAATCATTTTTTTTAGTCTAATAAAAAGCAATATTGATCTCACAATTTTGTCCGAAACTATTGCGGAGTGTTCTCTTGAGTCACTTAATTTTTTTTTCTTCAGTTTCTACCTATTGTAATCTCAGTGATCAAATGCTCATTGATTTAAATAAGTTTTCAAGACCTGGAACACTTGTATGAAAGAAATATCTAATTCACCAAGTACTGATACAGATATTCTTCATTACCTATAATGTCTTCACAAAATACATATTGGTACTTCAAACCATAAGACTATAAGACGTACCTCAAAACTAATCCCATCCAAAGAAATTGCATTACTCACCTCTTGAACACATTGCATCTATAAGTGCAAACTTCTTCTCGTAATTCATTGATACATTGAAAACAACATCACTTTTAAATTATATAATAAAAAGTGATTGTAACCGTTTTCAAACCAAAACTATGCCAATGCTTACACCATAATATAATATCTGATGAGTGAGTGATTCCCCAACAGTAGTTAGAGGTCACGAAATTTTTCCGCAACAGACTGCATACAATAATTTTAATGCTGAGGGAGGAAAAAAACTGATCCCTTAGTTAGTTACCAAAATTTCAAATAAACCGTGATCAGTGATCGTCTCTCCGTTATTGCACCATTTATTTCACATTCTCCCCAAGTTTTTTATTTGACACATTGGACCCAAATGTATGATCATTTTATTATTACTCCATTGCTGCATATGAGTAGCCTCACCGATCATATGATCATCCAATCTTTGTGCTATCTCTTTTAATCTTTTAAGTGGTACCTTAGTTTCCGATTTTACATGAATAACCCTTGATCATCTCTCCCTCATTTTCACATTTTTCCCCAAACTTTTTAATCTATCAACAAGAACCCAAAGAATTATCATATTCCCATTGCTGCACACTCTCACCGATAATTTGATAACACACTCACGTAAATTTACTTGTTTGATTAGGTCGGAAGATCGAGCTTGTTCTCGCTTGCAGCGGACGGAGAGGCGGGAGTAAGGAAGATGTTGCAAATGCTAAGAGAGGAGTTTGAGCTGACAATGGCACTAAGCTGGGAGAGATCAGTCGAAGCCACATTAAGACCGAGTAGTGGCACGTTCCTCATTACCTCCCGGCCAAGATTTAAGGAATTTCACTCACTTATTTTATTAGAGACATCAAAGAGAGAACGTAGAAAACGAGGGATAAGGGATCTCATGCATCCACAGATTCACATGTGACTCTTATTCAATCTCCTTGTATAGCATTTCAATCTCCTTGATTTAAGGAATTTTACTCACTTATTTTCTTAGAGACATCAAAGAGAGAACGTAGAAAACGAGGGATAAGGGATCTCATGCATCCACAGATTCACATGTGACTCTTATTCAATCTCCTTGTATAGCATTTGAATCACTCTGACAAGTACTAAAGCGGCAACGTATTATTATTCAGCTATAATAATCTAGAGGGGTTTCCGGCAAGTGATGATGCCAAACTTAATGACACCTTTCTTGTAGCCTTCGATCATCAATGGCATTGTCAAGGCTCCTTTTATGCTCTTCATACCTGTGTACATGCATGTGTTGTTTCAACTTTCTTCTCTTACCGTATTCATCATGAATGTAAGCACATTGCAAAAACATACCACTACGAAGCAGAGACAAAAGGCCCTTCCACGTTAACGCGGTTCGTATAACGGCCGGCCAGAAAGGAGCTACGTTCTCTGACCAATCTGCACACTTAATATCCTACAAACAAACAAACCCATATACATGTATATTAAGTTGTCACCAACTCCAGTTACTGACTTTAGCACCAGGAATCAAAAAGTTTTAATGAATGGAAACCTGGAGAGAGAGGGACTGAAGCAAGTTGACATAATCAGAGGTGGAGCACCAGGCCGGGAGATAGAATGTCTTGCAGATTCTGTCCAATAAGTTCTGTTCCCATGGCTGCAAAGCTTCTTCCCCTTGGGATAGATTTCTGTGGCACCATGTCACTATTATTATCCTTCCTCCTGGAGCCGCTACGCGTACCAACTCCTTGACGAACTGCATTCATTATCTTTGTTTTCCAAGATGGGAGATGTATAGTTATAATTCAGGGGAGATTATATACTGAGTGGTACCTTGGCCTTGTCAGGCATATGCTCACCGCTCTCCATCGACCACACGAGATCGAATTTCCCATCTTCAAATGGCTGCTCCAACGCATCTGCAACTTGGAACGATACCTGCTCCAAACATGGACAGAGTAATTAGATAAGATTCCACACAAACCAAGAAAAAGGGTCAGAAACAAAATACCTGATGAGAGAGCGATTGAGCAGCAGCGAGATCATTGGCTCTCTTGGCCTGCAAGGGGCTGAGAGTGATGCCAATGCACTCGGCCCCAAATTTAGAGGCAAGATACCTTGAGCTTCCTCCTATCCCACACCCAACATCCACTACTCTCTTTATCCTTTGCTCCTCTTTTTATTCAATCACAATCATATTTATATGGAATCAAACTCAAGTTCATATCTCTAAATATATAACAACAATAATCCCAGTATATATGTATGGTAAGTGGTTTTGCGGGAGAAGCGAACCAGTAGTAACGCCGGCGAAAAGGAGAGACTCTTCGATCATTCGGATTTGAGCCTCGCGGTGACCGGAATCGGAGAGTTGAAGGGGGGAATTGGGGTCGTAGAAGCCATGATGCATATGGTCTCCCCAAATCTCCTCCCACAGTGCAGAAGTCTCGTTGTAGAATTCGGCTATTCCTTGTCGCAGGGAGGTTGCAGCAGCCGTGACAGCCACGCTCCCACGCGCCGTAGCCGTCGTCATAGAGGCTGAGGATGGACGTAGGGACCCAAGCGACGGTGGTGATGATCGGAAACTACAAGTAGGATTGGATTGGGGGAGGAATGTGAGAGAGGAAGGTGCGAGAGTCGCTTTCATTAATAATAACGGAGAAACAAGAAACGTGGCTGTGTCTGTCTGATTTTCTTTCTTGCTTGCTGCTAGTTGATATAATATAACGTGCTATTGTCTCACTGCCACAAACTTTTCTGATGCCATTTATTTGGGGCTAGGGCCAATCATCTACATCCACTTATTACTTTGGTTTATCTTTTTCCTTTTTACTAGACCCAAAAGGATTCACTACATTTCTTTGTCGTCGTTCAATCAAAAGTCGGTAGCAAACAAATATTGTTAGACCCAAAAGAATTCACTTCATTTCTTTTAAAGTCGGTAGCAAACAAATATTGTAAGCAAAGAGAGCTTAATAAGGTGACTGGACAAACACACCGTTCCATTTTCAGATGACTTTTTCGTTTTTTTTCAATATTTTACATTGTAAAACACTCCCCACCTCTTTTCATAAGACACTAGGATACTACCCGTGCTCGACGCGGAATGAAATGAACATATAAAACCAAAATTTCAAATTTGCTTGTGTATATTCAAATTTGCAATTACTTTTTATCTGCACAATAATGTGTTTCACCTATGCATAAAAAAAAAATACTTAAACTGAAAACCGAATTAGAATTCACCAATTCGAACCAGAATAAAAAAAATATAATAATTCGAATGGGTACAAAAGTTTATATACTAAATTGTCTGAAACAAACTCTAACGATACAAACCCGAACCGAAGTCATTGAAAATCACTAAAAAATATTACTTTGTTTTTATATTTTATATTTTTGAATTAATCAGTATTTTATCTCATTATATTTATTCCACTAATTATTTCCA